AGTACAAAATCGCGCAGCGATTAAAGGCTGAAAGTGTGCCTCTTTAGGCCTGCTAAGAAAGGCTTGCGCGCATGGGCTCCAGGTCAGCTTATTCCGCAGGGAGGGCAAACTGTGGGACGGTGATTGCCCTGTTTTTCATAGTTAGGGGTATGCAACCTATCACATCAAAAGTCCGAGTTGTTCAGTTCTGCCGATCCAGTGCCTTTAAGTCATATGAAGAATTAACTAGATGTGAACTAGAGAAAAACGTATATTGGTGCTTGTCTGGAAGAGAATTTTCCATGGATGCAAAACTCAGAGGCTGTTGTTACAGGTTGCCTTTGAGCAGCCCAATGGCTTCCTCAGTAATGTTCTAATTATGGGGCAGAATCACCAGGCGCTGCTTCCTGTTTGTCACTACCGCGTAAAACAGCGATGATGCAGATACGAAAAAACAAAAAAGTTGATGCTAACAGCACAACACTGCATTGTGTACGTGTCCCTTATATTTGTGCAGCTTGTTTCAGAAAATGAATAAAAGCTGCTGAGTTGAAGAGTATCACATCAAACAGCTCCCGCCTCCTCTTCGAAATGTGTCGATTTACTGTTATTACGCTCTTTGCGCTCATCCTCTTTACCGTCCGTGGCGAACTGGTAAGCTTGTTCACTTAATTCTAACTTCCCTCTAATTTGCTTCCAAATCGTAATACAAAATACTTAGATATGTGCTTATTCTCAAGTGATTAATGCTCTTGCGGAAAGGAGATCTGTCCTTTGATCTACAGAAATATTCAAAAGCGCCCGCGCAAACTTGTCACAACCGTCAGACTTTTAAGCCATCACAAGTACAAAAATAGGAGAACCTACAAAGCAAGCTGGTGGCTCATAAAAAGTTTACGACTACACCAAGTTTTAAAAAACCATGTTTGGCACGACATCACGTTGTTTGCCGTTGATTTGGTTCTTTACAAGAGCTTCGTGCATCCGCTCAGATCTCATTAGTTTGTAAATCCATTACCGTAGAGAAAAAAAGGTAAAAACAATTAAGATCTATGTAATGCTATGTGATGCTATAAAGTATATGCATGTAAAGTATATGTAATGCTTTTTATTAAAGAACATCATCTATGTAATTTTGAGTGTTTTGCAGAATGGCTTGTTCAGACTACCCCTCGAACCAATCACTCCTATACCAAACTCTTTTAGAGTAAGATCCTAGCATCAGTATGTGTTACTGCTGGATATAATTTTCAGGTTCCTCAAACTACTGCCGATTACTGCATCCCCAAACTGAAAAGAGAATTCAAAGAAAATGATACTTACTTTAACGATGTCAAAAAACACGTCGAAGCGAATGACATCTCCGGAGCCTATGATACTGTTTATGCAAAGGTAAGGCCCTCCCTTGATGAAAGCAGAATTCATATCAGGGCGATTCTAGGCGGCGGAAATGTGCACTGCTGAGCAAGTAGAACGTATGAAGGCTTTGGAAAAGAAGTATGCGACCATAAAGCAGGGTGTTCAAGCTGTGAGTTTCAGAGTTGATGTTGTTCAATTATCTGCACTCAAAAAACATCATCTACTGAAAGATAGATAGTTGTAAATTCTTGGGTCATAAATACATTTCATTTAAGCTAGCCCCTGAATACAACAATCAAGCCAAGGACCAAGTACTGCAGTGGCTAAGAGACGACAATTTCATGGCACTTTCCGGATTTCTCGTTAGAGAAGGCATGGTGAGTAACTCATATTCACCATTATAGTATAACTGAACTTTGACGAAATGCTCTTATTCTAGGTCAATATGCACAATGCGACCAGGAACTCGCAGCTGATGCAGATTTCACTTCCATTAGGCTCTATGCAATTTGAACAATTCCTTAATCCCATATAATGATGTGATTTTCAAGAATTACTGTATATCCACTCAAAATAAATATATACTCTCTGTAACTACTCTGTAACTGAAGCTCTATGTATTAGGTTGTTCGGAAAATAATGGCGCATGGCATCCTACCGCGACAGAATGACCATAAAAAATAGCGAATGGGGTATCATTTGATAGAGCGAAGCAAGCTCTACAATATAGTTTACAAACTACGCGGAAATCATGCTCCACCTGGAGATCGAATCCAAAATGTAAAAAATTCTAGATATCCGAAAAATCGTATCTCGGTTCATAGACGTCTTATGGATCTCCAGTTTGCACAGGCATGTACTCTCTACACTAGACATTCACCTGTATAGTTTGTGGTATTTTTCCTAGGCTACAGTACGAGAAATAAAAATAGGTCAAAAGTGCGAATATGTCGCGTTTTTCGGGTTTTTGCATTTGATTTTTCTCGAAAACTAGCGTTTGTCCAAAGCTGAAACATCATGGATACTCCTAAAGGTTTATGCTACAGAATCACCCATGTGAGAGAAGCTTAGGATTGTTTTGGCAAAAATGTGCCAAGTTTCGTTTTCTCAATTTTCAGCCATGGAAAAACCTCGAAAATATGCATAAGTGTGTCTCGTATAGTGAGTCCATACGTGAGCAAATTAGGGTTTCTCAGGACTTTTCTGAACAGAGTTACGATTTTTTTCGTTTTTTTAGATCTTTAGTGCCTTGTGAAATTTGGCTCCAAACTTCACGCAAATCAAGCCTGGCGCAAAGACCGGGCTTTATTTTATAGAGCTTGTTTTGATCTATCGGTTGGTACCCCATTTACTTACTTTCGTGCTGAGCCTGCCACGATTTTGCATGTTAAAATAAAAAGCGACATTATTTTCCAGACAACCTAATACAAATATACACCTAAATTTTGTCTTCAGAAAAGTGTGTTAGAATGCCATACATTGCCACCGTGTACACATGATATTTGCCTGAAGAGCACAGGGTTAAAACAAAGAGTATAATAATTTTGCAAAAATGGTCCACATGTGTGAAGCAAAAAAATTTTTTTCATAGCATTGCAAGGAGTAAATAAAATCAAAAATTGTTTTTATCCAATAGAAGAATTCTGCATGTGATTTTTTAGATTTTTCGATATCCTCCTTTGTTGTTAAAAACACTAACTCTCTTATTAATCTTTTCCGAAAATATTTCACGATGCGCGCGATGGTTTTGGCGAAATTTCTTCCCAGGTGCTCACCACTCTCCTTTCGCTGCTTGATGCCTGGTCCTGCAAAATCCCGGTTAGCATCCATAATTTGGCCCGTAGTGAAGCTCGGTCACGGGAGATGATCTTCCCCGAGGCCCGCATATGAGGCTTCGTCGGGTGAGATGAGATGAGGACTGCCCATTTTTCCGTGGTGTAAGTATGCAAGGTCACCCTGCAGGTGAGCTTCAGATGAAGCCCGGTAAGGAGATCAGCTCCCGACCGAGTCATCGGAGATGAGCCGGGCGACGACATAAGGTAAATAAGGTAAATAAGGTAAATAAGGTAAATAAGGTAAATACTGTGCTAAAGAGGAGAGCACAGAGAAAACCTCCGTAAGTTGCTCCCGAGTAACTCAAGAAACACTGCAGTTGACGTTCTTTTGAGGTGCAAAACCCCCAAAACTGCACAATTTCGGGCGCCTAAGTGAGTGAGGATAGATGAACAGCTGATTGCGCGACGAAATCTGAAGAAAAGATTTCTTTGCATTTTTCTTGCAATTGTTGCTTGTTTTTGTCAAAGAACCGCTCCAGACAACAAGAAGGTGAATTTATTTTTTTATTCGTTTTTCGCTATGTGTAGTTCTTCTTCCTATAAGTGCCAAATTATTGTGTATCTGTTTTATCGTGAAATCTCTGATAGCTGCTATCATCGATTTTTCGATAACGGCCGCTATCAAAGGTCGCCAGGCAGGGCCCGGCACAGATCGCCTAGAAGCAGGCTGGACTTCGTTTTTGGAGCAAAAAGCAAAGGGGATATCGTTTTGCGGGGTCCGGGGCGAATTCCCGGAAAAAATTTTTGCACATGCTCACTAGCGACCCACACCTTCTGTACTGTAAACAGCAAATCGACGGTCTAATAGAATTCAAAACTCTGAACAATTTTCATTCAGAAAAAAAATGCAAAATGAAACCTCGCATACATTCCGCTCACCTGTAGGGCAATATGCTAAAGCATAAACGGCTACTACTATACGAAATATTATTTCGATCTAAGTTCAAAAGTTAGTGCGAAGTATATTCAGGTGCGCAAATTTTGCACGCAAGACAACGCGAAGGGAAAAGTCAGCAATGAGATGATGGTGATTTGAAAATGATGCTTGCACAAGCAAAAAATCTACGTCTTTTACGTGCTATATAGTGACATTCGAATCCACAGTTAATGCAGCTATCAATGTCCATATGGACAAAAAGCAACAGCTAATACTTCTTGCGCGAGTTCTGCCGTCTCACAGACAGACAAACACAACACAAAAAACGTAAGCACCCTCGACCAGTTATTATAAGTTATGATAATTCCTTCACTTGCTCCTTTAGGTCAAGGATAAACGATCATTTAGACGAACACAAGCTTTTCGGACAGGTTGTCACACGGTTGACATGCTCTATCGTGTTTGGCGAAAAGTGCGCGCGATTTGAAAGCAGGGCTAAAATCAACAAATTCTTGTTTACAGCGCACACAGAATCATATGACACCAAAATTGAATTGTGTGTATAGAAAATTATTTGTGGAAGAATTATGCAAAAAGATTTGAAAACTTATGTGAAGAAATACGTTTTCCAAAATTAGATCGTCTCCAGACGGCCACCAGACGATCTGAGATCGTCTGGAGCATATATTTTCGTCACTTCACATAAGTTTCGGATCTTTCCAGCATGGACGGATGCCCCGGTCAAAAATCTATCCCTGAGCAAAAAACATTTTCATATTACCCCCTGTCCGTCCTTTTTTATCCTCTTTTTTTTCGAAAATCGCCGTGTTAGTTGTCGCGCTCCACCGTCCAATCCGCGTTGCTGTGAGCGAAATTTTGATCGCTTGCTCGTTTTGCCGCAAACACTGTTTCCTTCGTCTGTGTAGTTCTGCTTTCGTTGTTTTTAAAGTCTGTGTTCTATGTGTGCGTATGCTTGCAGCTGTCGGAGTTGCTAGGCTGTTTTTGGCTGTTTTTGCTGTTTTTGGCTGTTTTTGTAAATATGAACAGCGAGTTCAAGGTGAAACCAGTTTTTTCCGGTGAAAAAATTCTAAGGTTTTCTGATTTCAGGAGTCTTTGATGGCTTGGATGAAGGCAGCAAAAAAGGGTTTACCGAAATTGTGGAGTTTCTTGTTACAAAGGGAGTAGATGTAAGTTTCCGTCTATAGTAGATCTGATTTTGCAACAGTGTTTGCATTCTTAGAGGTCAACTATCGTTTTTTAAATGGTGATGCCACGGCGCCGTCCCTAGCTTGCTCTGCTGGACTTAAGGACATTGTCGAGCATCTTTTCAAATGTGGAGCTGACCCCAACATCGAATTAAAAGTAAGTTTTTTGTTGTTGTTCGTTTCGTACCCTTCGTATTGCTAGTGGAATTGTTAAGGATAGAGTAACATGTGTATTGGAGGCTGCAAGAAATGGTTTTGTCAACATCGTGGAAATGATGCTCGCACGGCGGTGTCTTTCCACAGCCTCCACGAGGTGTTGTGGGAGGAACTACTCCACAGGGTGATAAGGGAAATCCACCACTCCCCCCTCCACCACCACCAACCCCTACACTTCTACTGAGGTATGATTATCTTTCGTTTGTGTAAGGGCTTTTCTAGAGTTTATGCTGTTTTGCCTCACTTCGAGCATGTTGTAGCTATGATTCGTTTTCTAGCAAACGGCTCTTCATCGAGGTGAGAAAGCTGCTGCTGCTGCATCAGCTGCAGTTGCTCCCTCTTTGGTGAACCCTGACAGAAGTATGCCACCTTTGCCTAAAACAGCAGCAGGCGCAGTCCCTACACCTCCGGACCCAGCAAGCTATGGACTTTCCGGTTTTCCCCCCCGCTCAGGTTTGCTTCGTACATCAGCTCAGATATGTTGTTGACGATAGCGTTTAGCCCGGTCACTATGTGTCTTTGCCTGCTGATTTCTCCAATAGTTCAGCTTTATCTTGATTCGCTTCGCTGTTTTCTGGACTAGGTGATGGCACCACTCCCGTAAGTTATCATTGTTATAGTGCCATTGAGCTTTTCCTTCCTCTGGTGTTGTCGTTGTTCTACGTTTGTTCGTTTATTTTTCCTCATTTTTTGAAGCTTTTGAGCTATTTTTGAGCTATCATTGATAGGTAAGGTCGAAGCTAGCGAAGCTCAAATTAAAGAAAAGTTGTGTAAAAAAGAAACATCATTTCATTCAGCACTAACACTGTCCAACACATCTTGGGTAGGATTGATTGTAGTGAATCAGTCAAGTGTAACATATGTCACTTGTGCCGTGTTTGATCTTCGTTTAAATTTTCATTTCTGGAATTACCGTCATATGGATGCCTAAAACTGCGAAAAACCGATTCACCTTCATAGTTCTTACTTATACTTAGTGAAATGTTTCAGAGAGCTCAAAAACTGTTTGAGCACCCTAGTTGCGATGGCTGAAGATGAAAATGTGCCTGTGGCCTCTGTCGATGACGAGGTAAGTCTGAGTCTAAACATCATTGAGGTTACGATTTCAATTCTGCCTGCGTTTCATCTCATTTCCTGGTAAATAATGGTTACACATTCTGAATATTGCTGGTGCCAAAGCTTACTCTGATATTGTTTCGAAAGCAGGGGGTCTGGCGAAAGAATCAAAGTTCAAAGTCCATTCTCTACAGTTTTGAGATTGAGCGTCAGATGGGATTTGCTTGCACAGAAAATGACTACTTTTCGGGTATACTTGAGTTTTTTTTGTGTATCTTTGCAATGTTTGGAGGTAAAGGGCTATCATCCGTTCACTGAGACGTTCCTCGAAGTGGGTAGTGATACATCGATTTGCATCAGTGGTACTTAGCTAAGCCTCGGATCCGTCCTACATGTGAGGCCTTTTTATGAAGTAATGCCGGCTGTCATACCCATCCTGGTCTGAAGTTTCATTATTGCATTTCATGAATCACATTTATCCGAGCGTCGCGGAGTTTTTTTTTGCTACACTGCTGCGCAAAATTGATTATCATGCAGTGAGGTTCAACTATTTCTCACTTTGTTCCCAAAAGACCTACTAAGCACATGTACAAAGTAGTCATCAACAATCGATAAGTGCTGCCTAGTTGGTATTCAAAGCTCACCGATCGCTTATACATTCCATTAGTACACACTCCTTTTTTCTTGAAAAAAAAACTTTTTTCTAAGATTTTCGACAATGTTCCGTTATAGTTGTCATCACAGATTTTCACATCAGTTTTTCAAGGTGGTTTCGAAAAACACTACCTTTAAGGTTGCGAGAATTGAAAATTTTAGAGCTTAGACAACGAAAGGTCTGTGTGGCATTATCTCAATCTTTCAGCTTTACACCTGCCTGTAAAACTACCTTACTCTATGCGTGTTTGGATCGCCATCCCTTGACTTCCTTGCGCCTTCTGACAGGGACGGTCGTACCGCTAGGGGAGAGGTGACTTTAATGTTCGTCATTTTGTTTTTGTTTTTGTCTTTTGGTTATTTGTCCATTTCATCAAAAATCGTTGCAGTCTGAAGACTCCACTATGCGTGAACGCATGGACCAGGTTTTCGAAGCTTTATTTGATGTTCCAAAACTTAATTATGAAGTTGAATTAATAAAGTTGTTCCCTTGAGATATAGCTCATTTATAAAATCGTGACGACGGATTATTCTGCGGACTTTGCGCCCGCAGAAGCATAAAACGCTCACACAAGAGGGCATCACCTCAACGTTCAGCTCAGTCACTTCCAGTTATCCAAACGTTATCATACTTGAGCAAAAAACAATCCGAAAAGAGATAAAAGCCGAGAAAATGCCATTTCCATAGGTGACTTGCGTGTCGGCGCGGTCGCGCCAAACGATTTTTCAAATACTTTATACCTGTGTTTGCTTTTCGGTGGAGGGTGGGGGGGGGGGGGGGTAGGGCAAGGGTCAAAGGGGACTTCGTGAAATTTCCGAAAGTCAAGGGGGACTTCGTTTTTAAAAAGCCTAGAAACGGACTCGTGCTGGGCCCTGTCGCCAGGCCAAGTAGCAAAAATGGTGCCCCTAGCCGCACTAGAATCATGGTTCTGCCGCTTAAAACCCAACAGTCTTATCCATTTGACTAGTAATGCACAAATGGCAGTAACGTTCAACCGAAAATGCGAACGCCCAGTAAGTGATCTGCTCCAAATCAATCGCTCCCCTGGCAATGTGCTGAGGCGCGATGAGATCAGCTCCGGTCCGTCTCAAGAGAGATGCCCTGATGGGGGTTTACTACGGGCCTTTTGCTTTGGCCAAAGCACCACAGCCCTTTGGATTTTGCTTCCGTTCCTTTCGATAGAGCCGCAAGAACCTGCAGTATTGTGGTTTCATAGCTACTGCGGTTAATTTTATTTTTTATTTAATACACGCAAGGGAGCCCATCCAACACAGAAACAAAGCATTACACAGAACATCTAGCAGCAAAAAAACAGGCAAACACCCCACTGAGTCAGCTCAAGTCCAACCCGCAAAAACTTTTTAGGAATAGCAAGGGACGCTTGTTTGGATGAAGTCATCACAGGTATAAAGGTTTAATGAAGTCTGTCTCAGGCTTCCCGCTCTCAGCAAAAATGCTCTTATTCAAAAAATGAGTAACTGTGTATGTTGGAAGCAGATGTACTGGTAGTAATAATGATAAAAACCGCTTAATAATTTGCAGGGCTTTGAGGGCTTTGGGGCTTTGTGCTAGATCAACATTAACTGAAAACCAAAGCCAAGCATGTGCACAACGGAACAAGAGAATGGATAAGACGACTATCACCCAAACATAGCATATAGACTGAAGATAATGCCCAGCCTTAACATTAGGGATCCTTTCACTAATAACTGAAGGCATAAAGCCTAGTATACCAAACTCATGTCACCAAGTCTGCTAAAAAAGACTTGGTGAGAGCCTAGAATGAGATTTCACCAAAGATCATTATGCATCCTTCGGGTGAAAACCCTTCGGTAGAAAACGCTTTTACGAAACCAGAGGCAGCTAACTTGAAAGTGGTAAGAAATCTTAAAATGTAGACAAAAGCTTTCGAATTTAATAGTACTTACAACTTTGAAAACTTTGCGCCACATTATATGCACGTACGTGTAGTAACAACAAGCACCAGGTGAATCTTTTCAGCTTCAAAGGGCAAAAATTTGCCTGCTCAGAATGGAGACTACAGATTGGCTTGATGAGATAGCTGATTGCTTAATTTTGCTATCAAATCAAAAGGCTGCGCAGCGTGGGCGTCACTCTTTTGTGTCGGAGAATTACAAAAAAAGCATTTTACAATGCAAGTGATTAGGGGTTGAAATAGGTAAATACAGGGTGTCTCAAAAAAAAAAAACGCCTACTGTTTGATTGTTAATAACTCTCTTGTAACGAAATCTTTCGAGAAACTTTGGGTCCCATTTTGTACAGCTGGCTTTATTTATTTATCTATTTATAAATACATTACTTAATCGTAATGTGCCATTATACCAAGAACATCATGACATTGTTACAAAGCAGGAAATTGCATACTTAATACTAAAAAAGAATAGAATGCATTTAGCATCAAATCTACACCTCAAAAACTCTCGCACATATTTGTTGCTATAATATCGGATACAGATGGAGTAGGACGAAAAGTACGCATTGCTCTGTTGATGGCCGTTATCTGTTTTTGAGAAGATCTCACACGCATTATCGAAGCTTTGATCAGGTGTATACTATCGCCAAGGTATGCATAGTGCTCAAAATAACGAAGTGGAATGAAGAAAGAATATCATGTGATAGGCCATTTCCGAGCGGTGTGTGATACAGCATCCAACTGTCCATCGTCGATCCATCCATTCATTTCATACATACATACATACATACATACATGCATACATACATACACATGTAGTGGCATGGAGATAGATACGCAAAATCAAAGCTTCAAAAATGTGAAAAGCAGCGGTTTAGGTTAACTGAATATAAGTGAGTCATGAGCGGGAAGTAATTATGAGCCAATACTGGGGTCTAGGGCAGGAGTTTCACAGGTATAGAAGTAAAGGATAAATGCCTAAAAAGCACAAATTCACAGAGTCATAGTGGTCGGAGAAAACATGATAGATAGACAAAGAAGACAAAAAGAAAGCTTAGGAGAATTTTTTTAATGATCAGAGGTGAGCAAAAATTGGAAAAGTGATAGATGCAAATTGTGAATCGAGCTCTTTTCAATACGATAACTTCAAATGGGCACATTCACTTGATAATATAGTACTTGCTTTAACTTAGATTACTGGTATAAAGCAATCACCGATTGCTCTTCATTACCGTCGGATTACGGTAAGAACGTTGAAGAAGGTTTTGAGCCATGAAAGGCTATCTTTTGCCTTAGAAAGCAAACAAAACAACCTGAAAACTTTCACACTGGGTTAATCAAAGTTGCCGATTCTAAATGTGAAGTTCGCAACTTTGATGCTTCATCAAAAAGTTATAGGTAAGCAGTAGCGGCCGTTTTTTCAATGTTCCATAAATGCAAATACACCTCTAGAAAGCTTCGCAATCTTGTACCTAGTTGAGTATTGAACTCAGCCATGAAAACCCTATTACACAATTTTTCACATTTTCTGAGAATTTTTGAAACGGCTTTTTTTTTCACAGTAACACCGTATGCTTGAAGTTCCTACCGTAATCCTACGATAATGAAGAGCGATTGGTGATTCGCTCTATACAGTAAATCTAAGTTGAAGCCAGCTTAATAAATGGTACTTAGACCTTTTTGAAAGACTCAATTTCAAGAGATTTATTAACAATGAACCAGTAGGCAAATTTTTGGGACACCCTGGTATTGGTAAAAAATGAGACTTTTGTTTCGAGTCCTTGGAGTAACTGTTCCGATATAAATATGATAGTCAGAACGTGTGAAAGATGTCATGAAGCTGACTTTATGTATAATATTTCTGTCCTTCAAACATTCGCGTTGTGTCTTCTAAGGAATTCTATAATACAAGCAAATATCAGTACTTTGCTATAACCTCTACCATGCCGATGGCACAGCACTACATGAAAATTTTTTCCTTCGTTTCCACAAATACAATGATATCGAAGAACAATGTTTTGGGCTGCAGCAATCATTCCCGAAGACTTATTTATTTATGGTATAGCATATATCGTGTCATATAATCAGAGCTCCCCACAGTTTTCAGTAACGACAACTTTGGTAGTCCTACCCTTTTGTGCGCCATAACCTGAAAAGCAGAGGAAGCAATGCTAGAGAGAACATAACCGTTACTTACCTTCTAAAACACCGTAACTCTCCATTTTATCGAGAACGTCGAGACCGTCCACCAATTCTCCGAATGCTACGTGGAAATTGTCCATCCTTAGAAAAAGCGAACTTTTAGCAGTAAGGAAAGATCCAACGTACCACGGAGTGTCGGTAAAGGTGACGAAGAATCGACTAGAGTTAGTGTTAGGCCAGCCAAAGTTGTCCATGGACAATACGCCTCTGAAAAAAAACAAGCATTCCTCATTCTATGGCCAAGCGGTATACCTGCCTTTTGTTATGACGAATTTCAAAATTCTCATCGTCAAAGTATTTTTTATCAAAAGTGCTTCGGCCTCCTGATCTATCAGCGTTCTGCGTTTCGAAGTCACCAGACTGCAACGTAGAATCTCAAAGTGCGGTAAAATTTGTAAGAGGGTTTCAACTTGCACAAGCACAAAAGCCAGGTATGATCCGATACCACTGGCAGCCCTTGTAGCCGTAACCCATCTCACCAGTACAGAGACGTCGGAAGTTTTCGCTAGTTTTTGGACACACTCGATTATTCAACTGGAAATACAGCTGAAAGTTGAGAGAAAACACTACATTGTTCTGTTCCAATAGTTTCCTCCTCTGTAAGATTTATACTATGTTTCAATAGTGGTCCTAGAACTTCCATGAAGAGCGGGGAGGGGGGGGGGGGGGGAAGGGAAACGAAAAAATAGGTATTTTTTCGCTATCCGGACCCATCATTCCCAAACATTCTCATGATACAAGCAGTTAAGACCAGATAATTTTCAAGAACCTTATGAGCATTATCTCCCTGCCGCGCGTCAGGTTCGATAAGTTTGTTCTAATTTAACATGTTTTATACAGAATCATTTCCGGTGAGGTACGAGTACTTCAGATGACTCGAAAGCTGTTCAATCTTTTTTTTATGAAAGCAAAAAAGTAGAATTTCTATACTATAACATCTCGATCGCTTTCAGCAGTTGTATTCATCGTGCGAAAAGGCCATGATAGAATCCAATGATGGCGTGAAACAACTTGTTGCCGCACTTTATCGCCGCTCAGATGACGGAGCCTTAACGTACTTTTAGGCAAATTCAATATGTTTATTGGAAGTACGTACGATATTCTTATAACATATTCATATTGGAAAATTTTGGGTTAAAACTGGGGGGGGGCATTATTGATACAAAAACAGGTCGAGCGAGCTTACACTGGTAGGTGTGCAAAACAAACTTTTGGTAAAACGTGTTAAACATGTAGATAACGCGTAGATTTTCTTGTCACCTGGCAGGAGATTAACATTCCGTTTTGTGAAGTTAGAACCAAATATGGTACTAAAAAAGAAGCAGTTTTTTTTTTCAAAAAATGGGTCCGGATAAAGGAAAACTACCAAAAATTCTTTTAATGAAGGTGCATAGCGTTAGCCAACCATTTCGAAAATTTTTCTGGGATGCTTCCCAATTTGCTGGCTCAAACCCAAAATTTTTTTCAAAGAATGGGTGGGGGTAGCTGTTGCCAGCCACAAATGAAATTTTTTTTGGAAGGCTTGAATTTTTTAAGGATTCTAAAAATCATTTTGATTTTAACAATACAAACAAGTCACTTGCACACTTTTATGATTACTTGACTTACTTCAAATACCAGGCGCCCGATGGGTTCACCATCAGCAGTAATATCCATAAACACGCGTGGATATTTTGCCATCTTGTCACTTGAATGACTAGTAGGGCTCCGTGCAGACGATGGGAAAATGTGATGGAAATTATCATTGCTACAATTGAATGGATAAGACTGGGCGTTTGCAAAAGAAAATTAGGTGCCATAGACCGTAATTGGCTTTTGTTGTCATGTGCAGATCGGTCAATTTTGTGCGACTGCGAAAGCAAGCACATACTGATAAGTGAATCTAAACCAAAGTGTACGTTGTGAACTCAATGGTTGAAATTTTAAGCTTTTGAGCGGATGGATGATTGGCTCTGCAATCTAAGAGACAAAATTGCCTGCACAGCTTCCTGTTTGCTACTACGATCGTAAAACAACGTTGATTGTTTTACGGTGGCAGTGACGAGATACGAAAACGCAAAAAAACCCTATGTCATCAGCACAACACAGCATTGTGTACGTATATTTGTGCAGCTTGTTTCAAAAGGTGAATAAAAGCTCCGGAACTGGAGAGTATCAGATCAAACAGCTTTTGTCTTTTCTGAATGTGTCGATTTGCTGCTTTAGTGCTCTTCGCGCTTACTTTCAACTACGTTCGTAGCGACTTGGTAAGTTTACTGCCTCCAGTCTTATCTGCATAATCACTTAAACTGACTCTCAGCCTCAAGGACAACATCGTGTGTTCCCTATGCTAAATTCCTCTTAGGTCAGCAAATAAGTAATTTTGGTCGCTTCTGCAGCGCAAATGTTGCAGGCGCATTTCTGTGCAGTGCTTGGTATCCCTGGAAAGAGCACTCCAATAAGAATCAGATTGTAGATTCTGTTTAAGTAATATTTATCAATTCATCTCCCTATGAAGAAAAGGCGTAAGGAGGTGGATACACCAATTTTCTCATTGCGCACAAATGTGAAAGACATTCCTCTTTGAGAATTGAAGAATTGCAAAATATGTGATCACAAATTTTATCGTTATTTGTAATAGAAGAACAATGTATTCATATAGACACCAAATTCATTCTACATCCATCACAAATTCTAAGCTTTTGGAAATCTTGACATACAGGGGCATAAAGTTCTTTATTGTCAGCGGGAAATTTTGTGTAGTTGATAGGTAATAGTCCAAGCCTGAACTGAATGCTTTCAAAAATTCGTGAACAAAAAAAAAACTACAAAAAAGTCTTATAGAGATCTGCATGCCAGAACGAAATTACTTTTACTGACCTGTAAATTTCATTGAAAATTCTGCCCTTCAAACAACAGAAAATTCTATATTCCAAACATTTGTGTCATAATCTGTGAATACTGTAACACGCAGGTTCAGCCAGAGGAGGTCAGCAGCAAAACAGAAGATGCCACGCAACCTCATGTCGACCCGAAACCTCTTGTTGTACCAGCCGAAGAAACAAAAGCACCTAGGGAGCAATCTGTTAGCTTCAGCGGCTTAGATGGTCTACACAACTTCTTTGTAAGTTGTAAATGTCTGCCCTCAGTCTTCTTTACTAAATTGACTGTGCCAAAGCCAAGCTTAGCACGACAGAAATCTTGGTGATCACTGGTTTTCTTAACTTCGCTCAACCTCTGATTTCAGAAAAGCCTATCTTTGGGCTCTTTCAAGCCTCTGCAACCGGTAAGTCTGCTACCACAGTTTCAATAGAGAGTCCTAATAGAATCGGCTTACAAAGTCTCCGCCTCGAAAATATTGTAATCTAACCAAGAAAGGCACCTAACTTACCTCGGCTTTGGAAAGAGACATATATGCTAATCCCGAGTATGCTATTCTTAGCTGCGGCGCATCAATTTTGAGCGAGCTATATTTATTTTATTTTATATATACATTCATGGTGCGCCACAAAAGAAAGAAATCGAACAGAAAATCCGGCAACATAAATGATGAGACAAAAGACCAGCCAAGCCTCAGTCACAGAAGGAAGAAAAGTCATTTAAATGGAACACAAGACAAAACAAATACCGAAGAGCCCTTTATGACAATGTAGACATTCTACTGATCTCTTTTTGTGCAAAACCTGCATACTCATTGACTTACTGGAATCACCGCACCATAATCTAAGTTCTAATGCACATGCGCTAATTGTAAGTTTCTTGTCAATGAAAATGGATCTGAGTGATTTATCTCGACATCCCAATGCTATTTTCGGACAGATACCTATAGGTAGTATCCGTATTAAGTAGCATTCCAATTTCGCGCAGTAAATAGCTCTTAACTCCTTCAAAATGGCGCTCCGCCTCTAGAAGTAGCATATTTTGAATCATCGTTTTACAGTGATTCGGAATGTACATGTCTCTTTCCAAAAAGTCGAACTAAGTTAGGTGACTTCTCTTCAGTTGAAAGTGCTTTGCAGGAAGGCTTGTTCAAACTACCACTCCTTGAGCCAATCACTCTCTCATCTCTACCAAACTTCTTCAGAGTAAGTATTTTGACATCATAAAGTATTGCTGTTTGGTATTCGAATTCAGTCGCCGCAAACAGCCGATTATTGCATTCCCAAGCTGAAAAGAGAGTTCAAAGAAAATAACGCTTACTTTCACGATGTACAAAAGCAAGTTGAAGAGAACAACATCGCCGGTGCCTATGACGTCGTTTTTGCAAAGGTAATGCTCGCGACAAACAAAGAATTTGCTACAAGCTTTTTTAGGCAAGAGAAATTTGCACTGTTGAGCAAGTAGAAAGAATGAAGGCCCTGGACGAAAAGTATGCCACTATCAAGCAAAATGTACAAACCGTGAGTTTCTGAATATATTTCTCAGTTACTTGCAGTTTACTGGCTGATAAGACATGTTACGAGATATTGTTATAAATTAAAGCTTGAGTTATAAAATTTGCTACAACCACTTGCCACCGATTTACAGCTGGCGCCTGTATACAACAAACAGACCAAGGACCAGGTGCTGCAGTGGCTGAGAGACGACAACTTCTTGGCACTTTCCGGGTTTCTCGTAAAAGAGAGTTTGGTAAGTCACTAAGGCCTTTCCACTGCATGCAATCAGTGTATTCGATGAAGTTTAAAACTATCAAAAGTTTTCATTCCAGGCCAATATGCACAACGCAACATTGAACTCGAAACTAACACAGACCTCACTTCAACTGGGCTCTATGCAATTCGATCAGTTCCTTGATCCCATATGATGAGATATATTGAATTTTAATATATAGAGATTACAATATATGTGTATTGCAGCTCCTTCATTGAAATAGTATGTCATTATGTGTGTTACTTGTTTATGCCCAGAGAAGTGATTTAGAAGATTATCCGCATACACAATTTTTTCAACGTTCAGAATAGTCATGTTTTACTTCATAGTCAGAGATCATTTCTGAAATTTTGACTCCACATGAGTGATCCTTTCAAAAGAAACTCCTTATATTTACTAACAGATGTTACTGTTATGTCTAACAGTGAATTCTATTCTTTTGCGAAGACAAGAAATTCTGACCTAAAGAAGGTGTGTTGCAGATGTTGAAGCATTTTTTGCAGTATACAACATTACTTACTAGGTTCATGTGAACGATATTGAGCACTAATGAGTCGAACTGTTTCAGAACAGGATGGAGCATAGTATTATAGAATCATAAATTGAGAGGAAAAATTCTAGAGTACTTTTGTGATCAGAGCGCTTTCTTTCACTGGAACGCTTTTATCTCACTGCACAGAAAGAGGAGGAAAGAAGATTCGGCACTGGCTTTAGATATATGAAGAGAAAAAATGTCTAAAGTATAATCTGTTGGTTTTTTCAAAGGCCAGTAAAGTCTCGTATAATAAAGATGTACTTGTCCTTAAACAAGCTGATGCAGCTCTTCCTTTTCTTTCTGATGGTTACACTCTCAAATCATAATCATGTGGATGTTTCCAGATATTAGGTTGTTTCAAAAAGTAATGTACATTTTACAGGTCCATTTTTCGAAAAACTTTTTTTTCAACAAAATTTCTTTTTCGACATGAATTTTGCATATCGTTGACAAGCTTCATAAGCTTCTCTCCTCTTCCGAGAGAATTTCACCAGCATTCTGGCCACCAGCACTCAAAATCGAAATTCCATTGCTTTCACTTTCTTGACAACTCAGGAAATGGCATAGCTAATGTATGTGATGAATATCATTTAGCTATAGCAAACGTATTTCTTGTTACCTGTTGTTTACCTATGTTTTTATGATAACTTTACTGCATGTAAATACTCATTACTAGCCACAAATGGCTTGCAATGGTTGAAGCAGACCATATTTACCACAGAAAGATTCAAAGCACTACGCCTTCGCCCTTGCAGAACTTAAAAGTAAGTACACATGAACCTTTATTCAGGACTTGTTAACAAGCACAATATCATGCACTAAATCAGCACCGGGTAGAATAATCATAATCAAAGCAACAACACTCCGTCAAAAAAATCATCACTAGATAAGGTATAGTATCTTCGTTATATTCACTATAATCATGGATATTAGAGAGGCAGTGACACTACTGGATCTACTTTTTGGTGGCTGACTTACAAAGGCGAGCTATACGAGGGCAAAATTGTTAGTGATCGCTAATTATTTCGTTTTATTTTTTGTGCTGACTGAGAGTGGTTTCAAGATTTAGACCTTCCGATTCGCAAAACAAAGTCTAGACTTCATCCCGTACTCTTTCTTTTGATATACTAGTCATGCTTGAGCGATAGTTCAAGAAGAAACGGTTGCAGTTACTTACAACATTTATCGCAAATAATATTTATACTTTTTTGATCAAGATCAAACTTATAATCAATTCCTCTCCAGCTACTGATGTGTATATCACGGAAGCGGGTAGTGTTGCTACCTGAGTATTTTCACTTCAAAAGTCGTAGAAGTTTGCGAAGGATCTTGTAACCCAGGCCAAACGATGAAGTACGAATGCACACAAAAAGGAAGTTTGCCATTGACAGCCCTTTTTACTTTCATTATCTTATTGAGAGCAAGTGCCGCACAGCTTTGGGGCTGATAGTTTTCGCCAAGAAAAGATTAATTCCTTTCATTCTCAAGCCCTCATCAGTTTTCAATTGATCACTTGGCTAATAACAGTCTTACGTAACAAATAACGATTAAGGTAAGATGTTGTGAATAAATATAAATATAAATGTTTTGTTGACTTTGTAATTCATACTTGCAGGCTCTTTAACTATATGTTTGACGCACAAAACTGAGAGCTCAGAAGATAAATTATACCGGATTTGCAATATACCCAATTATTACGTGATAGTTTGTTAGTGGATAGAGGTAACATGGCAATTGGTGAATTTGTCAAAAAAGCCTTTGCGATCAATTCAGTGTCCCGCATTGGACGGAATGACATGTATGGTCGTAACGGACGTGACATGACCCTGTAATGACAAGTCGTAGCTTTCGTCGGAGGCTTTTGACTTTTTAATGGCCTTGTTTCGAGATTATTCAATTCCATACAAATGACACGAGTGCGTAGCAAGTATTAGGCTGGAAACTAAGTTTTGCAACTGGTTTCATAACTTCACTATCTTTGGATATGGCGCACTCAAACTTTGGCATTATGTAAAATGCAATGTGAGCTACAAGTGAGCACAATTGTCTAAATTTTGAGCACGAAATAGAAGAGTTTCAGGCGTTTTTCGAAAACTAGGGAAATTTGGGAATTTTTGGGGTTTTAAGCTAAAATGAAGCCTTTGGCAGCCTAGACCATGCGCAGTAATCCAGATTCGCCTACAAATTATTGCTGGAGTTTGACTCGTTTGGCCTATTAGGAAAGAAACAAAATTTGGAGGCATGTCGAGATTTGGCGTCCTCATAAAGTCGAACGAGTTGATGTGAGCTGCTGGGGACGACAGTCAATGACTAAAGAGTGTGAAGCTCAAATTCCGCCGAGACTTTACAAAGTAAGGTTATTTGGCCTGCCAAACGCGAATATCACATTCATTTGTTAAATCAAAGCCTTCTTCCTTGTTTAGGGTGAGACCCCATATCGTACACCTACAGTAATCCCACAAAAAAGCCTTTCTTACGCAATTTCACTATCGTTTTCGTGATCAGTATGTCGGATAACACCTCTATGCCAAGTTTCAGGCAAATCCGTCAAACTTTGAATTTTTCCCCTTCATACCATGCACCTACCGTAACCCTCACTGCGACGTCAGAATTTGGTAGGACAGCAGCTGCGCTTGTAGCTTACGTAATAGCCGACGCAGAGGCAAAATTTGAGCGAGCCATGTTGAGTGAGAGGGAAGTTATGAGACCAGTTGCAAAACTTAGTTTCCAACCTAATATTACTCAGGGTGCCTCGCACCTTCATGCGTTGTGCTGCGATTGCCTCACAGTTAGCGCGATGCCACATCATGTGTATTGGTCAGCATAGCAGAAAATTTTTAGTTCATTATTGACGAGTTCAATAATGAAATAGGGAAGTACAAGAGAATATCATACTAGGCTATCAAAATAAATTCATGCTTGAAGTAAATGCGACTACGACACTGACCCCGGAAAAAGTCCAGAATAGCAGTAAATGAATTTATTGGTTTACCACTTGTTAAAATTATAAAAGATCTTGCAATCAATTTTCTTTGACCTGCAGTACCTCACAAAGAATATAAAGCATTCCTACTCTTATCACGATGAATCCTTTGAAAAAGCTTCAGATGACTATGTCAAATTTTTTATCATGTAAAAAATACTATGCTTTCGGCATTCGCATCCCACGCATGGAGGTGAGAGGCTGCTGTGAAAATCCGTGGGCGAGCGGTTTTGAACGAAGGTGACGCCGCTGGGTTCATATTAATCTCGATGTTTCGGAACAGTTCCAGCACAGTTTTGGCATTGTGCTAGAACGTTCCAAAACTGTGCTGCATGCGCTGCGCTGCCCGTGTGCACTTTTGAGCCGCGCGGCATAACAGTTTTTGACTTTCTCGAATAATTTTGATCGTATATTTTGTCCGTTACTGTATTATTCTTGTCACTTGCTTTTGTGATGAGAAAAGTTTCAAGCTTGGAGAGGGGTACAAGAATGAGCACTATTCCGTTATATACATTAGGCCGAAAGCTGTTTCAAGCTGATACGCCTTTCATCAAAAGCGGAACGGTAACCAAGAACCAACGAGCAAGCAGTATGATGCGAAAAAAGATGTGGCTAAAACTCCCAAAAACCAAATCTCATCAAAACACGAAAAAAAATTTGCGATCTCCCAATCGTGATAATATAGGGGCCTGCAGGATCGTGAGAGTCGGACGTGCGCACGGTCATTGCGCCGCGCACATCCGATGTCACTAAGGCAGGTGCCAGACTTATCCGCTTCAGCCGGTTCGTTCGGTTCATAAGTGAAATCACTCACTACACTGTCCAACAGCAAAGGTGGTGAACCGAATGAACCTGTTCAACAGGATAAGTCTAGCACCTGCCTGAGTCGTCGGACGCACATCTGACGTGCACGGCGCAATGGCCGTACGCACGTCCGACTCTCGCGATCCTGCAAGCCCCTATACCATCATCCTCCTCAAAGACAGCTCGTGCTAAAAGCGACATTCTGAAATACAACAGGAATGTTTTACAGAGAATCCACGAAGGAGAAGGGGCGCACGAAGGAAAATACATCTTTTACGCACGACGAACATAAAAAAGCTTCATTCTCAAACCTCAAATAATCAAAATCGTTCAAGAAAGTCAAAGATTGTTATTTAGCGCCGCTCAAAACCGCATGCGGGCGGTTGCAGCGCAAGCGTTCCGGAACAGTTCAAGCACAGTGCGAAACAGTTCCAGCGCAGTGCGAGAACTGTGCTGGAACTGTTCCGAACTTGCAGATCAGACTTGCAAATGTGTGATTTAAAATCTTTCAAGTTGCTTACTTGCGTGCATTTGTGGCATCCTGCGATGTTAAGCACTCTGTTCCTTACTTCACCGTTGAACGCAAAGTAAGTCCAAGGGTGTATGCATGACAAAATGATATTTAACAGCACATACACTTGTTTTAGTAGCGGAAAAGCAATGTGCTATAAAGATGGCAAGTTTTGTATCGTGTTTAGAAGCAAAAATGAACTGAAGTATACCCAAGGTAAGGAGAGTAAGCACATATAGAGACTGGAAACCAGAAGAAGGGCAAGCACTAGACCGCTAAATTGAAACGTGAGACGCAAGGCTTGTCTTCTCCTCCTAAATTGGGAATAATGTGCGTAGTCTTTTCTCTGATCATTTGGAAGATAAAAAAAACCATCCGCAGCTTTACCAAGGTGCACACCGCCTAATATAATTGATTATGAATGTGTAGCATAAGGTGGAAGTAAACAGAGCTAACATAGCACATGAAATTGTAGTAAGATTTGCCAGCTGAAATGGACAATATACATAAAAAGTTGACCTCCAGAAGCGCCATACATGTAACGTTCATGTGTAGATTTTTCACATTAGAAACGGGCGTGGTGGAATCAGGCGCGCCCGATCTGGTGGTCGTACCAGGAGTGGGAAGGGGAAGGAGATCAAATCAAGGGTAGGGTAAAAATCTATCCAACAAGTTGAGGAAAATGCTGCGATCGAGGAAAATGGAGGTAAAAGCACTTGTCGTACCTTCTTTGGGAAGGAATATGATGTGAGCTACGCAATACGAGACAATGGCCCGTAGTAAAGCTCGGTCATGGGAGATGATCTCTTCTGAGACCTTCATGTGAGGTTCTGTCAGTAAAATGACGACCGCCCATTTCCCCATGCTATACGGATGCAACGTCACCTGAGAGGTGAGCCTCAGGTGAAGTTTGGCAGGGAGATGATCTCCCTGCCGGGTCATGGGAGATGATATGAGCGATGATGTCCAGAAATAGTGTGCTAAAGAGGAAACGCAGAGAAAATCTTTGTAAGTTGCTCCTGAGTAACTTACGATACACAGCAATTTGCCTAACACTGCGGACAAAATCGGCGCAGAATTGCACAGCCGCGCCCGAAAAGGAGAGGATCGATGAACAGCTGATTTTGGCGAGGAAGACAGAAAAAAAACAAACTCTTCTCTTTTCTTGTAAACTTTACTGGTTTTTTTTGAAGCTGTCCACGAGGACTCATTTGTTCATTCCATTGAATTCACGTTGCAACCATTTCGTTTTGTCGCAAAATTTTCGTAACGAAATGTTTTTTTGTTTTATCTTTGCGTTTGCTGGGCGAAATCCTTGATAGCGGTCATCATCGATTGAATAGTGGCCGCTATCAAAGATTGCCCGGCGATGCAGCAAAAGTTGTGTCGCTAGGCGGAGTCGAACCACGGCCGCGCGCGTGTAATTCCAATGGCTTACCCATTCAACCAAATCGAATCAAGTAGCTGTTTTTTCGAGAACGCACTTGATTATAATGTCCAGGAAGCGATCTGCATCCAGATCAATAGCTCGCCGGATGCTGGACTGAGGCGCCGAGATATCGACTCCAATCCGCCTCAGGGGAGATGCCCTGACGGTAGTTTACTACGGGCCAATGTACTAGGCATGGTTTCAGCAAGTACGCTCACCGTAAACTTACGACAAAAACCACCTACCAGAAACCTTACCAGTTACATGTAAAATCACTCAAAAGCACATTGAACTACCTTTATGCAGTCTAAAGGCCACTATTTGCTACGTTTCAGCCATTTTCTCTGTCTAGAAAAGGTCATCATTGAAGACAATTGATTTTATTTTAGAGGCGAAAGAAACCACCCTTTTTCTTCTTAGAACGAAGCATTGCTCTCTCTAAGCCTATACTAGAAACTCGGCCTTATATCGCCGTCATAGGGAGACGGCCCTTCTGAACCGTTAGCGTTAGCAGCTCAATTAGTGCGCGGCCTCTGATTGGTCGGAGCTGCCGCGGCGCTTGGGTAGGCGGAGCTATGCTGTCGTTAGAGACGTCTGAATTTCCCATGAAACTCAAAAATGTTATACGTGGGCGGCTAAGGTAAATTCTTCAGCTTAACGTGCAAACCTCATTGTGTTTTGAAAAGTGGGAAGGGAGAAGAAATCACGAAAGGCCAGTCAAAAAACATGCAAGTTTTCCAACGTCCGTCATATACTGGTTAAGAAAGTGTTGGGAGAAGGAAAAGTCTGAGTATCCTGTTGTCCACGTAAGTGCTTTCATTTTTCGCGTTACTACAAACGAAAGCAAGGCAAAACACTGAAACATTTACTTTAGGATCTACAGGGTTTATGCTAGTCAAATGAACCGGATGAGGCACACTTGAAAAAGATTTCTCTGTGGTCAGTCAGTGGGGTCTGGCACAAATCCTTGGAAGTTCGGACAGCCTGACTTTTCAAACGGTTGTGCCTGACCCAGCAAACTTGCCTCTAATATTCATGAACCGTTTGTTTTTTGTTGTGGGTAATAGACTGAAAGCCTGTTCTTGCTACTATAACTTTTTGGTCCCAATAGCTCCTTTCTTGAAGAGAAGTTATGGTTCTTGAAAAACCACATACGTAAGAGATATCCGTCAAATATGTTGTCTGTACCGTGTAATCGAGCAAAAAATTGTGCCTACAGATTAAAAAAAAACTACAACTCAACACACTCACACGCATTTCGCCCTAAAGGTTACATACATTATAATCTAAAGGTGAAGAGGAGGAGGAAGGGTCATTCAAATAAATGTTTAGGGGGAGGAAAAGGGTCATTTTTGAAATTGTGTGCCTGACTCTTGTTCAACCATGCTCAGTGATAAGGTGCCAATATTATTAGAACTGTAGCTTAATGTAAGCCCTTATGCACTAACATCCCTGCGGCGAGGTGAGCGGCGGAGTGCGGACGGTGCCGCTGCTTTTTCGTCATTGGGGACGCCGCTCTCCTCGCCGCGGAAATGTTGGTGCTTATGCGCGTGAGTTCGCAAACCTGATACTATATGTTTACGCGTATTTCTTTTTGTCTTCACGAAGGTTTATTTGAGATGCTTCAACTCAATACTATCAGCCACTTCGTGATAGAGCAGAATCGTCTTTATATTTTTTATTTCCACAGCTTTCGCATAAGAAAACTGCTAATAAAGAAGTGGTCAGCAGTAGAAGTGGTTATACCAACAAGTTGCTTGCTAATGGATGCAGCATGAAACGTCAATTTCTTTTTGTATTATTTATTTATTTATTTATTTACGTAAACAGTCGATAAAGTATTTCAGTATTATCTGCTAGGATCTCTATAGAGTAAGTTGTAAGCTAACATATAGATAGAAATTGTGCATGCAAACTGTTAATCTAAACATGCGAATCCCTACTTTGCTTGAGCTGGGCCGAAATATGCAGGCATCATGCTTTATAGGCTCCATGTCTAGCACTGTGTTAGAAAGGCATTTCCCATATTGCAGCTCGCATATAAGAGTTTCTTGGATTGAAACAGCTCACAGCTTCGTCAACAACGGCGTTGAGCAGATACAAAAAAAACATATGGAATCAGAGTTTCCCTACATTCAATCGTATGCAACTTGTTTGGACGAGTCACTTCGTCTGACCATTTCCTCAAAGCAACATTCGTTCAATGTGAAAAATGAGAGAGCTGTTTTGTCATCGACAGAATGATTGAAAAAGAAGGGAACTGTAGTCGATTTAACTGAATTCAGTACCTGAGAATGATGTCGATCAGACACCAGTGTCAGGTTTTCCTTTGAGGCAAAGGTTACATTGAGAAACGTTACCGATGGTGCAATAGTCGCGAAGGAAACACCCCAATGTGCGAGTACAAAGACGTACCATGGGATTTTCTCCATGAGCTGAAAGGAGTTTTTTTAACGGAGCGTTGACTGCACATTTACCTACCTAAGTGGTACAGCTGACAGAGCTTAGCATTAAACTAAGTGAGCTCCAAAATATAATGTTCAAATTTTTATGGGAGATGTCTAATGCAGTCATTGATTTGATCAATTTCTTGCAATCTTCGTAACACATAGGGTTTTGTGCAGCAAAACCACTGAGCAACATGCTGGATTTCGCGTCAGATTTTGAGCCCTTAAGGTTGCGCCAGACTGCGCGGCGTACGCGACGTACGCAGCATACGCCGCGTATGCTCCTATGATGATATACCGAGCGTACGCTGCGTACGCCGTGTACGCCGCTTCCCCGCGAAGTCTGGCTCAACCCCTACACTGCAAATTGGTGCAGTGGGATAGGCGAAGATTGTGATTACCAGAACAAAATGAAGGAAACTTGCATACAGGGAAAGGACGAGCTGCTGTGTAGAAACGGTATGTTGAGTGCTATTATGTTTATAGAGAAAGGAAGAATTAATCAGGAATACCGGATGGTTCCTGCGTTTTTGTTAGAAGTGCTCATAAATTGTGAGCATGCATTCTAGCTTCATTCTAGATTCACGTATTTGCACGAATCACAAGTAGTCATTTTTTCATAATTGTTTTATTGTTAGTGCTATCGTAGTACATTCTGTTTGGAATTAATTCATCGGCGTTGCACATACAGAATGGATGATTCAAAATTTAAAGTCACACTCAAACGAAATGGCTTGGCAAGTGAGCTAACATAGCTTGAACACTTACTGTCTCAATCTTTGTCCGTCCTTTACATATTGTCACATATCTTTGCATAGAAATAATTGTAATGCCAATACATCTGAGGTTGAGGCTGTAGTGCGAACATGAAACCATGAAATTGGCCAGGACACTGCGGTTCTCCCATAAGAAGTTACTAGCTATTCCAAATGCACGAAAGCATGCGAAAACATTGCATGCAAGAAGGGATAATATGTCAGCTGCTCCCTAAAAAAAATGAACTTGTAAATTTTTTTTACATTTGATAAGTATAGCATGATTTCACTATAAGGCAAGCGCTATACTCCTCAAGGAGTATAGCATGACGAAGGCGATCACCAGTCGCTAAATCTGGCGAATGCACATCAGATAGCTATCGATTGCTGGCATGAGTTTACATGTCTAATCAATACCTATCCAACGTGTGGTCGCCAAAACTGGCGATCGCCAATCGCCAGTATCGGCGGCGGTGTCTTTCATAAGTATTGTCGCTAACAAGTTGCCACATGTCCAATCGATACGCAACCAACGTGGAGTCGCCAACATTGGCGATTGGCGATCTTTATTCGTATCGATTGACGATCGCCAGTTTTTGGCGACTACACGTTTGATATTTATCGATTTGACGCGTGGTAACTTGTTTGCGATCAATATGTATGTAAAGTGCAGTCGATATTAGCGATTGGCGATCGCCAGTCGCCAATATCGGCGACGGGCAATCACCAGTCATAGCTGTTGGCGATCGCCAACATCGGCGACAAAAATCGCCGATTTTAGACGTACTTGATGCGTATCGATCGTCGTTATGCTATACTCCTCGGGGAGTATAGTGCCTGCCTAACTCTTCTCCACGTAACTTTTTTTCATTCTGAACAACTCGTGGTTTGCTGAGACAGCGAATGTCTTCATTCCCGAATTGCATGAATGCAAAAGGTCTTGAGCTCGCCGAGAAGCATTACATCTAGGACTATCATCTCCGCATCTTAACACTTGAAAAGCAAACCGTGACGGAGATCGACGGTATAAACTTTATGACTTTTGCTGCATTTCGTCCAAATACGCCTTACTAAGTGCCAAATCTGGTTTCTCCCGTCCTGTCGATAATTTTCGTGATCAGCATGTTCACTTAGCTCCCCTTGCAAACCTCAAGCCGCGTATTTGAAATTTTGCAAAAATTGATAAACTTGACATCGATGAATGACGAAATGTTGCCTACGACACTCGCCTCGCCACGAAGTGTATGTATGAAAAGTTTGGTCCGGATCGGTATAGAGATGAAATTTTATTTGGAACATACGTACAGCCATAAAGGCACAGACACATACATACAAACACATTCAGCTTCATTGATACGGATTGACATATGCATTTCGCAACCTGGCAGCCGAAATTTCACTCGTTCAATTTCTTGCTTTGATGTCTCGCCTTCTCCTTTCTTTGCACTTTTTTCTGTACCGGTCCTATGTGAGTATTGATATAGATGTCAACCAATCAGATTTCATCCAGGAACATATATTAGAAGAACTCGGTAAGAATATTCTATATTCTATTTTTATAGTCTAAATTTCACATCTCCATTTCGTGGTAGAGCCAGAACTGCTTCAGATGCTTTTTGGATAGACTTCAACCGTCATCCGGGATACTGCCAGGAGTTGCTTCAAGAGGGCTCAATAAGCTGGAAGCAATTGCATGACTCCTCTCCATCCTTCCCTTGCTTATAGTACAATTAAAGGCAGTGGCTCGGCAAATCTCAACCTAGTCAAATTTTCGCTCACCTGGGGTTATTCAATACGCTGATCATGAAAATCCACATTTAAAAGCCCAAAAACGGCGAGAACGAGCGTTTTTCAATGGCCTTCCCTTTGGATTTGGACGAGTGGAGCAAGACTGATGACGCTGCATCGTTGCGGGACCCAATGGTTATAGCATTGCGGCGGGCAGCCTCCAACGGTGAGAAAGAAATTGCCAACTCGTCCGGACGCATGTAAGATTGGCCTGCGCGTGTAAGTTTGAGAACAATATTCTTCGCAGGGAAGGCATGCTGTGCAACAGGGATTGCACTGTTTTCATACTTGGGCCAGAAGGAACCTACCGCGTTGAAATCCTGACATGCTGAGCTTTGCCGATCCACTGCCTTTAAGCAAGGTGCTGTATAAACTAAAACCTCATTGGTTTAAGCCGCCGTAGTCATCGAAGATGCATTCTGTAGACTCAACGCTGACACATGACTGAATCTACTTTTACCCATGTATTCCAAAAAAATATCACAATTTGTGGAAATTCGGAACACGTTGTCCACAATACACAAAGGAAGGCGATGTTGCGTCTCCTGTTGTATCACTTGACAGAGACCAGCACAAACTAATAACTTTTGGACAGTTTCACAGTATTCTTTTTGCTTGCAATCTATTCTTTGAAGATTTGCAGTTACAGCTTTTATGTTTCAAAATAAATCACAGTGTTTATATTCATAGTCATTGTGATCTCGTCTAAAGCCATTGAAGTGGGGAACATCATCATCCAGCAAGCTTTTTTTGCAGTTCTTCGTCATCTACATTGCAGTAATTTTCGCGAATCGATGTCGATCAAGGGTTTTTCATTAACGTAGTTGAAAATTCGTACCATGTCTGCTCGTGGACTTTCCTTCTTGAAAATTTTTCAGTGTAAAAATCTGGTTTACCACTCTTGTCACATCCTGCATATCATATGGAAGATTATGCTAGGCTTACCTGGGATAAAAGAAGAGCGTCAAACTGTTTTTGTCCTTTTCTCAATAAGATAACCACCATTATCAGCGTGTATAGCGGTACAGTAAAAACTGTGGCACTTATATGTGCCCAAAGAATCCATTCTAAAGCCATCTTGTCATCGGCGGTGTTGAGCTAGCAATTATGGGATGAATGAGCTGAAATAGCGAATAAGTACGAAGTAAACGCTCATACGAATATCATGATCTGGCAAAAGCATTGCTATATGTCCATGAAAACTCTTGTAAAATTGAAGTATGTGTCACGAGCCTCGTTGCATCCATAATACTTGCAAATCGCTGTGCGTTAGACTAGGTGTCAGAAGATAAAGGTCATGCTTAATAAGGTACGTGGATCTAGCGTTCTGGATTTTGTGTGACTGGTTTGCTTCCAGTAGAAGATGCGAAACTTAAAGCAGCAATAAGATGGCTCAATGCTACTGATGAGCAGTGCAGTCTGAAGTTTGATTTTTAGGTAAATCGCGCTCTGCCTTTTTTGGCGCTTAAAATTTAACTATTCAGGAGTGTAATGCATTTTACAAGAGTGTCTTTTGATATAGATTATCTCAGAGCGCTGCTGATTGAATGGAAGGTCGAACTTTCGTAATTGTTTAGCTCATCGCCATATGCACTTGGAGATCTTCGTTGTCATCTCTAATTATTTCATGCAAATCTATTTACCATATCGTGCACTTGGAAGATTAGTATCAACCAAAATAGAAATAGTCGTTGTCGTCTAATGCCGCCGATAATCATTGAATGTCAAACAAAATTGGCGCTTCTTTACGTCATGAAGGAAATTGATATTGCACTAATAGTACAGGTTCATTTTTCAAAACAGAGCAGATGATGGCAGATCGCAGAAAACCGTTTCTTGCTATGCTTTGTGGTATGTGTTGTCGCATTATAAGGCAAGTGGGCATTGGAGTTTCTTCGATTTTTTGGATTGGGATTGTCAACTCATAGCATTTTTTGCTCTTGGATGTGGGGAACGAGGGGACGACTGGCGTAGTGGTATGAGACGCCGCTATGACTAGGGCTGACTGACCAAAATTTGGTCCCGCTCCTGCGCCGATCAAGCCCTTTACCTTTCTGGGATGGTAAATTGGTATCAGTGTAGGAGAAGATGGGTGGGAGGATAAGCGCTGACTTTGTAATCTGCTGCTTCAAATCATTGTAAAGGCTCGCACACATTCAAGTGGCTCTTCGACTATGAAGTAGTGCTCTTCGGTGCATGCCCATAGAAGGTATTACAAACGCAAATCGTATTTTATGCTTTGACATCAGGTGTTTTGAACTGCGCAGAACAATATTGAGGTTCTCATTAGATCCTCTAAACTCTTCTTAAGGCAAATCAAATCACTCTAGCTTAATGTAGAAGCTTACGGTGATTTAGAATTGTATAAGGTTAAACACTGCACATTTTCTTCCTTATTTAGGATTTCGCAGTGCACTTCACTTGGGACAGTTATGGCTTGAAGGTGACATTTTTTGGATGGGTGAAACAAAGCGCTTTTCAGCTGACCTTGTTGAGCTTCTCACTGCTAGAGATATATCAATTGCAACTAAGAATTCCACTTCTATATTCTTCTTTTGGGCATGACGTCCTTGATTTCTGGCAATTCGTAGATATAATATGAGCTAAATACATTCACAGACTGAAACAGAATTTTTGCAATTCCCAAAAGCTCTTATTATTTAAGGTTTTATTGAAAAGCAAATTGACATGCACAAGTTGAATCAAGCACATCGAACCAAAGTGAGATTGGCGAAGGCAGGATTTAACGGAGCAATGAATCTTTAGCATACATCATCTGTATGATGTCATATTTGAGTACACCATGTGAAAATAAAGAAGTTCGTGGAATTACCGGAATGATCAAAATGTTGGAGGCCTCGAGAGAAAATGCAGTTAATGTTGCAAGAAATGCAGTTTGAAAATGCAGTTTTAAATGCAGTTTCCCAAACAGGAAAACCACTTGGATGTCCAAATCCTAGGAGAAGCTGAAAGGACATATATCAAAACTTTCTGACCACGGTCTAAAATGAGCACTAGTGGCCTCGTTTTAACAGTGCTTAAAATCAGAGCTCGTTACTTTACGTAATTTTCGAAGTTGGAGCAGCACCGCAGCAGTAAAACAAGAGACAAGAGACTACCAATTATATATGCTTTAGGTTAAGGACTGCCACCAAATCAGATAGCCTGATGGTCCCAACTGTAAAGGAGCAAAGGATATAGCATTGAGTATTGAGATAGCCGCTTGAAGGATTTTAGGATAGGAGCTGCAAGTTGCCACGATAACATGGAGAT